GTGGTAACCCTGGTAGCCCTCTGCACTGTAAATTAGCCGTTCTGGCTCCTCCGGTAAGACTTTGCTGCGGTAAGGAGGCTCTAGGAAGGATGGTGTTTCATAAATGCCACCGCATAGGTAAAAGGCACGTCTCTGCCAAGCCCTCTATACTGCCCTGCAAACACAGAGTGATCAGCAGACCCTATTCTAGTGGGGAATTAAGCTTTGTGCATCTCATCAGATAGAAATAAAAATGCACAGGAGCCAAAATGGCTTTTAGGAATATGCTGCCTTGCTCTTTCTCTGAAGTAGGGGCCAGTGCTGCTTTTGAACACACACTTTTCCCTAGCGTTATGCAGAGATCGATCTGTGGGGCAAAAGGAAGAGATTGCTAGATACCATTCACCTCTGGTGGTGTTTCATCTTACTGCAAAAAGGTGGCACGTTCAGGTAAAAGGAATTGTTTTAGGTATTTCTACCTCCCACTAGCTATGAACAGCAAGAAGAGGGCGTGCAGCCAAGCCCCGCTTCGAGGATCACCATGCATGGTTGCAACTGACTTTGATGCTGTAAATGCTTCTGAGAGTTTTGGCAGCCTGAGATGTTTTAACCTAGCTAAAGCAGGAGGGGAAAAGCAGAAACCTTGCCCTGAGCGGTGTGTCTGCACATGGTAAAAATCTCACTTCGAGACAAACAGTTTGTCTCTGGGAAGGGTGTGGGACTGGAATGTGAATAGACAGGGCCTGACAGCACCTCTTACTGCCTTGGATTGGGTGTCATTATCTTTCCACTTTTTACCACTATAAAACCTACTGTGTTTGGCTGAAATCATTTGTTAGTGGGCATATATTGTAGGTTTTTTCCCCCAAAGTGTCTCACAGACCCTTTAAACAATTTCAAGGAGGCCACGTTCAAGAAGAGCCTATGTTTTCCCTTTTGACTTTCCTCAGGTCTCATGGTAGATTTTTTTCATCTCACCGAAGCAAAAGCTCTTCCAACACTGACTTTTAAAAGCATTTCTCCTGGTTATTTTTGCTTAACTGTTTCTGTATGAGCAACAAAATCATATGATTTTCAAAGCTAGCCAAGTAATACAGTCTGAATTTCCAAACTCCAGTCACCACTAAATTAGGAAGAAAGCAACCCACAAGTTGTTGAGTAAGTTTTAATTAATATGTTTAATTAATTCCTCAAAGGTGTTGTATGTGCAGAAAAAAAGAAAACATTTACGAAAAGCTACGAGTGAAATTATCCATGCAGAAGCCAGCACATATCCCATTTATAATTAAAGAAAAAGTCTATTTTCTGACAGAAGTTAAGGATACTGTATAATGGCATAATGTACATACCTATCCATAAGATGGCTTAAACAGGTAAGGAACGGTTTCTGCTACATTTCTGTAGTTCATCAACATTATCACAAAATTACTACCAGATTTGCTACAGACCCACTAAATTATGTCTAGTCTAGTTGAGCATTCATTATTAAACATATTTTTCCTACACAGTTGCTTACGTTTTTATTGTCTCTGTATAAAGCCTTGACACCTCTCACTGCTAAGTATTTTTACTTTAAAAAGGGAAAATTGATTGCTGTTCTATCTCATCAGTTAGTTTTAAGTCATGACAAGACTTTACCCATAATCCTGTGGTTATCCAATTTCCTTTATCCTCTGACCATGTTTGGAGACTTCCCAAACTTTTGAAGATATAAATCGTGTCCACACATCCCTCTACTTTTGTACTGACATTCTTCTAAGAGGTGTGCAGGATTATATGGCTGATATTTTACATTCATCCAACTACTTACTGCTTATCGCTGAAAAAAACTGACAGCTCTTCTAAGTCCTGAGTAAAGTTCATTATCCTATTGGTCTTGAAAACAACTTTATGCCTTTACAAAATGTGCTATACCTTGCTAAACCATGTCTCAGTTAACTAGTAGGTTGTGTCCTATAGCAAAGTTATCTACTAGTTGTTCTATTTCTTCTGCTTCTGTCTTTTCAGGTAAATGTTATTTATCAGTGTGTTATCAGTTTATTCTTTTTGAAGTCTTTCTGTCTGTACCTTCACCAAACCTGAAGTGGCTAATCCGGGAAAAGAGGAGTAACTCCTTACTGGAAGTCTGACCTCTGGAGGCCATTAAGAAGATGCAGAGAATGCACAAGAAGTGTCCCCAGAAATCTTGTGCGAGAAAGTTATTTTGGAAGTGAAAGCTTAAGACCTTCAAAGTGCAGTTCACTGATCTTCCACTAACACTTTTTAATCCAGAAAAAAGCACCCAAACAAAAACAAAATACACATTAAATGAATACTTAGTGAAGTAATGTGGCACTCAACCATACCGTTGCCAGCTGTGATCTCATTAAAGCTCACAAGTTGAGTTAGACTTGGCCTGATCAGTAATTGGAAAGGACATCTCTCAGGAAAATCTTTCAAGATGCTGCAAAATTCTGTTTTGGTGATTCAGTAGATGGCACTTTTCCTTCTGGAAAAAAACATCCTATATCTCAGCCCAGTGTTACAAGTAGTGTGAACTGAACATACACACAAAGCAGTGATTTCATCATGCTGGTTTATTTATTCTGTTCATTTTATGTGGGGAGTCACAAAGAGAGTTGGAAACTATGCAGGAAATCATGAGTAATCATAAAATGTACATGAATCACAGAAATAATTTTTCATGAGAATCAGCCAGATCAGTCACATCAGAAATACAGAAATGTAATTACTTTTAAATTTAGTCACTTCTTTCTTATTAAAAAAAACCCAACAAAATAATACCAAAAAAAGCCCCAAATGCTAGCCTAATTGAGAGGGGCTGATAGAGTACCATAAAACTTTCATGCTTACTCTTGTATGAGAATAGAAACCAAATGAGCACTTTACAAATTATATATGTAGAACTACATCCCGCTTTCCCCAAGTCATTAGTATTTCAGATAGATTAACTAAAAATTAATTTGCTGATGCCTTTTGAAGTTATTTTGTTTGGGGCTTGCGCTATTTATCAAAGGTAAAAGTTGAATGAAGTCTTCCAGGTCAAACAAAACATTTTCAATCTGAATGTTCTAATTTATTTTAAACATTTTCAAACTTTCCAAACAAAATTAAAGAATTTACAAAGCAAAAAGATACCTAGCTGCCTAACTAATTTTGGGAATGTTAAAGTAAAATCTTAATTTATTTTCTAACCCTCTTTTGAATTTGTCCCTAAAGGAAATATTCCACATACAAGATAGGGAAGCACTGAAACAGTACACCTGTCTTTTTCATCCCAGATGAAATTGTAGAAGAAAGCTTAATATAATTGCTGCAGGCTTGCATATTGGACACATGCTAATTAAGATAGTAATTGAAATCTTCAAAATTAATCATAAGTTAAATTAAAACAATGGGTTAAGCTATGGTACAATGCCACTAACTTACATTCCAGGTACTTGTTAAACACAGGTTTTCATCTTTTATCTTTTCTATCCTAAAAGAGTAGTGGGCTCATCTCTCTCCAAAATGCTCCCATATTTAACTGAATATGGTGTTCTTTTCTTAATTCTTAAACAATTCTTTGTTTATGCTGAGGAAGTCACACTGGCTGCTTATGCTCCAAAGTGTTGTAGTTCATTTGGATACAGGCTGAAAGACTCTTCAGTTAAAGGAAAAAAATTAAAAGCACTTTCTGAAGTGTGATACAATTAAGTGCCATTATGTTATTTCACTTCTTTAAAAACACCAAGTTCTCATCTTAAAAACAAACTCAGGATCTCACAAAATAAACTATATACTTCTGAATTAAGTAGGCTCATTTCCAAACAGTAGTAGCAAACATAGTGGAAGTCAGGATTAAGGCAAAGTCACCCTTTGCATCAAGTTCTTGCCTTAATTCTCCAACCTCTTTCTTGATATTGATTTAAAATCACGCATACCATATGTATAGTATGAAACTAGTCATATTGTGCTTTCAGTCAAGTGCACAATCCACATATATTTCTCATGAGGATTTACATATTGGTAAAGATGCTACAGGGCTGATTATTTGTAGAGCAGAACTCTAAGCATGGAGATAAGCTTTTAAGAAACTGAACAGACAGTTCAGAGTATGTTATTCTCCTTCAGAAGTAAAAGTAGGGCAGAGTTCTATGGAATCCAAATCTATTTTCATTGCATGTTGTTTGTAATGTGTATAATGAGGCTGGCAATAAAAGTTACTTACCCTATCTGGCAAATCCTTTGTTGAGTGATGTTGTGGAAAGACATTACTTAGTTATTTTGGCTTAACTTAAAATATATATGCAAGAATTTCTCTATTAAATATGAATAAAATGTCTGCCATGCATAACTCGTGTTCAATTCCATCAGTCTGCTCAGGATGCTGTGTCACATTAGTTAATACAGTTCAAAGAAAAATCTGTATAATGTCTCTGTATTGGAATGCCAGCTCCTAAGATTTATTACCACTTCACAGGGAAATAAGAAATACTACCTAGCTGAAAGATAAACTTGCTGAAACTAAGTCCTCAGTGAACCACTTGTGTTCTGTCAGGCTTCCTTGGTGAGATGTAAAACAACCACAGCAAATGAACCATCCTTCGTCTGGAATATTCCCCAGGCACTAAATTGCAGTGGGCTTTATTCTGTCAAATTTTAACTAGTGATATTTCTCCAAAAATGTCAAAAGCTCTGAAAAGTACACAAGAGAAAGAATTTAAATTATTTATTTTCTGCAAACTA